AGATGCACGACAGTTATCGAAATAGCTAAATGAAGAGAAGAAAAATAACATTAATTTTCTCTTTTCATTTCTCTTATTAAATATAGGATAAATGTAAGGTTAACTATATGAAGAAAGAGAAAAGTTTACTTATGTAGCTTATTTGATTTCTTGCATAACATCATTAAAAACTACTGCAATACCTAAATGAGGAAAGAAACAATCAAACTGAATGTTTTTATTCTGTTTCTGTAATAAGATGCTAGAGCACCATCTCAATAACTAAATAAGAAAAAGAAAATTAAATTGAATTGTCTTGTTCTATTCTACTCATCAAACGCTGAACAACTATCAGAATGATTACATCTTTAAAAGAGCTTAAAACAATCTACCTCCATGCGTAGAATAATAAACGCGTCTGATAAAAATGTTGAATAATGTGCCCTTATGGGAAGAATAATAAAGCATTTTTCTCAAATTGTAGAACAATCTATCCTTTTGGATAGAATAAAAGAACTTCGGCTATAGTCGTAGACAAAGGTAGCATTTTCACAAAAGAAAGGAAAGAAAAGTTCAAACTTTTTCTATTGTTAGAAATGAAGAGTATCTGTATTATGCTCTACAAATGGAATAAAACAATCATTATAATAGCAGTAGCTCTAATGGATCTTTGCTTCCTTTCTTTCCTCATTCTTTTTCCCTTACTTCAAGTTACCTTCCTACTGTTGGTATTCCATATATTTTTTTTCTGATCCTTTAACTAATCTTTTCCATTTTTGTATGCTGCTTCAGCATACTACGATTAACTTCAAACATTTTTTTATTCTTTCTTATAACAAGAAAAAAAAATATCAAAAATTATTCCATTTCAGATCTGGAATAAGTTTTTGATGTCTACCAATGCAAGAAATGAATTAAGAAGAAAAATTTGTTATTTGTTTTCTATCAAATGTTTCATATAAATTTCATTCAACTTTGAAATAATTAACAAATTTTTCAAGAGTTTAAACGAAATATTTTATGATCACATATGACACGCATACTATGCAATCAGTCCAATTGTTATGTTTCTCTTATTGTTAAGAAAATAAATCTATACATCGAGAAGATTAGAATACATGAACCAGTTCGAAGTGGGCATAAGGCGACGTTAATCTAAGCTAAATTCAAAAATTTGGAAAATGATCCTAAAGATTTTCTGACAGAGGCTTCGGAAAATCACCTTGGAGATGAGGAAAACTCTATTCCGTTTTTCACTATCATTCATCTATCTTATAATCCAAGAACTGCTCTATAAAGCTACGGAAGTCACAGATTTTTTCGTTTTTCTGTTTGGGTGATGGATCTCATACACTGAGATCCTTAAAAATTACGCCTTTTTTATTCAATCCAGCTCCGATTTGCACGAAAATATAGGTTCTTATCCATGTTGAATTCCTTGACGATGTTTCTTTTCTTCTCTAGACAGATCAATGGTCGACACAGAAAGCACGGTAAAACAGGTAGTTTTTGGCTCGTTCTGCCTTTCAATGATATGATCAAAATTCATCTGGTTTATAACCGATGGAGCTCAAACTTTTTAGTACGAGGATGTAAGATGTCTCTCTGCAAGAAGAAAATCTTAAAAAATCATCGATCTCTAAATGTGGCAATCGCTTCTTCTGTGGTGGCAATGTTACATGAAAGACAGAACGAGCCAAAAATCACCTATTTTGCTAATCGTTCTCTGTCGAACGTTTAAAAAGCAGCTTTAAAAATTTTTGTTGGTAGTAGTAAAACATAAGTAATGTTATCGATCATATACTTTTATCAAAAGTCCAAGACTAATTTTCCTCGTATATACATACAAGTTGGAATCGACTGAAGCTCATGAAGTAGATATAGAGACACTCAAGAGATTTAAGCAAAGAATGTCAGATCAAGTGAACAGAATAGAAGAAAATTAAAGATAGTCCGGAAGACGAGAAATATGAAGAAAGTGAGATAAATCAAGAAATAAGAAGAAAATAATCTGAAAATGCTAATCATATATTTCTTAGAATTTCATTTGATAACTTTCATTTCTGAAAAGAAAGTGAAAGTGCCATCCCCCAGTCGTAGAGTAATCTATCCTATTGCTGAAATCCCTTGAAAAGTGTATGACATCGGAATAAACCTTTCGGGTTGACAGAAAATTTTTAAAAAGTTTCAAACTGGTGCCAGCTAACTAGTACTTATTTAAGTGATTCGACAGTATTTGGTTTTTTTTTCAACTCGGTTTAATTACATTAACTTAACGCTATAAAAATACTAGTGAATATCAGTGATTTTTTTTGTCCGCTTACTGATTTCACGTAGGTTATGTTAGGTCTAAATTCGACCTTTTTTAAGGCTGACGCATCTAGGAACATATTCCAATGCTGCTTTCCAATGTTCTAAGTACAACTCGACGAATTCTATCAGACGATGAAAATTGTATCTCAATAGCATGTTCTTTTGTCGAGCAATTCTTTTTAAACTTGTCATCATGGTGATTATATGCATTATGTCATAGAGAAATTTTTGTTTTCCTCGATTATTATAACAGATATCAATAAAATATTTTCAGCATTTGATGGATCCTGTCGAGTTGCACTTGGAACATAGATAATTTTGTTGGAGCATATTTCTAGACAAATCAGCACTACGACATAGTACAGAATATGCCAAACTGAACTAATAAAGTGAAGATGTCTTGACAATAAAACATGCTATCGAGATACAGTGTTTACTATCTGATGTAGCTCATTAATTTATATCTGGAACATGCATATTATTATTTAGATTCACAAACAACATACCGTTTTGTAGAAAACTAAAAGAGTTATAATTGAAATATTGAGAGTGTCATTTTCCCTGGACCATTCGATACTTTTATTCCATGTTTAATCACCAAAAAGAAAAGAAAAATCAAATATTTGAATAAACGAAGAAAAAAAAATAAAAAAAAAGAACTCTGATGCAAATATTTCATAGACAAATTGTCTCTTTTGTACTACTATAAAAAAAGTTCATTTTCATGGCGTAAATTTTTAACATGAGAAATTCGTTTGGTTTGTTCAATAGGTTGATGTTTAATAATAAGATTACAATCTGCTATTGGAAAAAGTATATCATCATGATTATGATTTATTAATGTTGAATTTAATCGTGAAATTGTATAAGTTGATCGAGGAGAATTGGTTGGAGATATTGATGGTGTACGAATTGAATTTGATGATGATCGACTTCGAGAAGAAGATGAAATATTTTCTACTGAAATAATATCTTCAGAATTTTTTTGTAATTTTGATATATTTGAATATGTACATGAATCTATTTTATCTGAAATATTTGTTAATGAATTTATAGTTAAATCTTTTGTTTCAATTTTTGATAGACGAATTGTTTTAAATTTTGTTGAAAGAAATTTTTTCACTTTATCTAATTTATTTTCATATTGTTTTTCACGTAATTGTTTCCAATTAATAATTGGATATTGAAATCGATTTGAATTATTATTTTCTTTAGATATTTTATGATAATTTGTTAAATCACTAGAATCAGAATCTATATTTGAATCGAAATACATATCTTCTGTTATATTTTGATATTTCATAAGACCAGATGAAGAATTTGATTCAGGTAATGATTGATCTTCATTAAGATCATATTGAATTTTACCTAATAATTTTGATTGATGATCACCTAGACTTTGTGAACGTTTTCGTCTTCGAATTGTTGCATCAGCTGCAATATAATCTGTATATGTATAATTAATATTGGATGAATGAATATTTTTATTGGATTTTTTTGAACGTAAAAGTGTACGAAATTGAGCTGCAATTTCAAGTGGATTTTGATTTGAACAATTAAGTAATTCAAGATGTTGAAGTGCAGCTTTACCCACATCAAATTGTGATGTATTGTTCATTTTAATTTACATCTAAAAGATAAAATCTCAAGTGTATATTTTTTTGTGTAAATGTGGTTAAATTTTTGTTCAGTATGTCTCTCATTTTGAAGAATGAGAAAATGTTAAAAGTTTAATCAAATTTCCATTGAATCTCTTTTTTTTTTGCTTTATCAGTAACAACTCATTTAAATGCTGAAGGAGTAACTCATACTTTATTTTTATAGATGAATTACGTAAATGAATCGCTTTCAAGTAGTATTCATTACATACTTTATACATAAAAAAATTTCTTGAAGATAACTATACGTTAAGAAAGGACGTTTTTTTTTCAGCGTTAGAAGAAGAAAAAAAAACGAACAAGGTTGACATAATAATCAAATTTAGTCACTCTTTTCATTAATACAACCATTGATCTTTGTCTTCTATTTATGAAAGAAAATCAAAACTAAATCTTCCATACAAAGAGAATAATATCATTAATCAATGTATTCATCATCTCAAAAGAAAAAAAAACAATCAAATTTCTACTCAAATATAAAAAGATGAATAAAATATCGCATTCATTGTAAATCTAACAAAAAAGAAATCATTCTATATTCTTTTCCCAGATTAATCAAACTTGTCTGTATATTTACTCCCTTTTTCTCATATCTGAATCTCAAACTAAGTATATACTTACATAGCTGAAATTATATATTGTAAAAAAAGGAAAACATTGACATGAAAATGTGGAGAAAACGAATGAAAAGAACAAAAAAAAGAAAGAAATCGTCGAGATAGCAAGAATGAATTGAATGATGTATGTACGTTGAAAGTAAAAGACAAAATCTATTGAGCAAATACATATAGTGAATTCTTTTGGTTTTTGATGCATACCTCTCAAGGTTTCTTTTTTCTTGCATCAATCTGACATAGCTGACTGTTAATGATGTATATCAAATCTCAATAAATAAGCTACTTAACCTATTTTTTATATTCTATTACTTTTTCAAGGGCATATGTATATACATTTACTAAAATTATCATCTCATCTTCATAATGCGTTGTTCTATATAGAAGTTTATTTGTATAGAATCGAGATCTTCGATCGATTATATGATTTGAATTGAAACTCTATGGATATATTGAAGTATCTTACTATTACATCTCGAAAAAATTTCAGTTCTCATTTCTTGTACTCTGTCGGAGTAATAACAATTTTTCTGTACATATCGGAAACATTGAAGAACCTTCAATTTCATTCGATTACTTCAAGAAATGGAGTCGATTTTGAAGCTGCACATTTTTTCAAAATAGGTCTTAATCGAAGAAGAAAATTGTTTTCATTATCAAAACTTGATCGTTTTTTCATAGAATTTCGTAGTTTCCTCAAGGCATACATGTCTCGAAAAGTCAATAAAGAAGAAAATACAAAAAGGACCACCAGAGTGACCAGCGCCAAGTGTCTTCTTTCAAATAAAAAAAGAAGATCGACTCAGTCTTTTGACGTAGTCAAATGGCGCTGAAGATACCAACGATCAGAAAGTGGCTACTAAAATTGCTATAACTCTGCCAGACAAAAAGTTATGAGACTGAATTTTTTTTTCTGTATATAGCTAAGCAGTCTCAATATGTACACAAAGTCTTCAGCAAAGTACCATGTAATAGCTTAAAAATTCTATTTTGAGAGAAAGAATGGTCTTCAATCAAACATACTTAATTTTTATCAAATTAAGCTTACTCGTTCGTTCCTCACACATTGCAAAAACAATAGTTATATATAGGTTAATGAATACACCTAGAGTTTAAATTATTTAAGTAAGCGATGAGAGAAAGCTCTTCGACAATGGTCAACAACAATGATTAGATTGGAGTATATATATATAATGAAAGGAAACATCCCAATAGAATAGGAATATACCGCGAGAGACAATCAGATAAATGAAAGAGAATAGTGCACATACAATTGTAACGATACTTACTCTTATGAACTAAAGCCGAAATAATGTAGATGATAAGAGATCGATCAACATATATAGACACAGATGCTATTTTTTTATTTGATCAGACTCATTACCGAAGACAAAAAAAAACAATATATACTTCATCGTTAACACATAGAACCCTTCTATATATCCCGCATTTCTGTTCTTAAATAAAAAAAAGCATATGCAGCCCAATATCTACAATAAGCAACTTTTATTTTTATTGTCCATATCAATTTGACGTTTATCGTCGAAACCAAATGAATATAGGATAATACACAAGAAAACATTTTGAAAGTAAACCTTAATGATTTACTATAAGAGTACATAAAGACATCAATCTTTAATCTTCGTTTTTTGTCAGATTCATACGTAAATAATCAAACTTACAAATTCAATGTAACAAACATGACAGGAAGCTACAAGTGTCTAGTGAACGAAAAAGATTATCTATACAGAATATTAATAAGAGATCATGAGAAAACGAACGAAAGAGGGAGTTGTATGTAAGACAGAGAAAAGACGAGAGGAAAAAAACCGTTCAGCATACTATTTACAATGTATTGACGTCGAGAATGAAGAAGAAAAAAAAATGAGAAGACAAAGATGCCTAGACATAGTCGTTCTCGTGCACTAACGACCACATGCATTTTTTTCCCTTCTTTTTTTTTTTCTTTTTTGCATTCATCAACAACAATGATTGAACCAACTACGCATTTATAGAAACGACGAGAAATATATGCAACATTCTTTCTCATCATCAACATTTTAGATTATAATCCATTGAAATGCCATTATTAAAAAGTGCTCAACGTCGTTTGAATACTCAACGTGAAATAATCAATCATTTTTCTCAACTTATACCTTCTTTTAATGATTTATTTGATGAACATTCATGGTATATTTTTTTTACGTGTTTAGCTTTATTTTCATTTCTTATTGCATTTATTCTCAGTCGATTTATTACATTAGCTGATGTTGATTATGATTATAAAAATCGAAATCGAAGAACAGGTCGTTTTTCTGGAGTAAAACGAACTCGACTTTTATAAAATAAATCTAGTCAGTCATATATTCGAAAAGAGCACCAATCGATTAAATTATTTATTTTTATTTGTTGTTTTAAATATTAATGTCGTACGAATTTTCTTTGTTTTTCTTGTAAAAATAACCATAATACAGATGTGATAAAACTAAGAGTTACAAATAAAGAACCTAATATAAATGAATATGATAAATGAATTGATTGAGATGAACATAATTCATCAGTTAAAATTTCTAATGTTGAACAATGTGATTGTTTACGTTCACTATTTAATATTGTATACATTATAGCTACAACAAAAGTACTAAACATTGCTAGAAGAAAAAGAAAATAAAAAACAAAAATCTTGTGTGTAATAAAATAATTATTTACTTGAAATAAGATATATTACACCAACAGTCATTGTAGCTAAAACAACATTATTGAGAATACCTATAGATATTCCAATAAATGTACCAGTACAAATAAGAAGAACGATTAATATAGCACAAGCTGCTGCTACATTATGTAGACCTAAAAATATTCGAACAAGCAAAAATAATTGAATATTTTAAATTAAAATTAATTATGAATATAATTTATCATGAGAATAAAAGTTAATCTCAAAAGATACATGAATATAGGCTTATTAAATTTTCTGTCTGATTTTAAAAGTTGATTACTAACATCATTGGGAGTTAAAAAGAAAATTTAATAAAAACAAAAAAAAGAACTACTGCAGTATTTCATCGATATAGTAATCAATAAGAAAATATATGACTCTTTCTCAAACTAAAATTAATTATCCATTATATAAATTGATCTTTTTATACAAAGTAGCTATCTCATTTGAAGTAATAATAAAGTATATAAAATGTGTATGTTCAATGTTTTCATTAGGCGAGAATGAAATTATTGAGGACTCAAAATTATAAGGAAATACTTTTTTGTAACATAATCCAGAACACAATCATTGAAATATCGTATTGTTTGTTCTGTTCTATTAAAAATATTTTACATTTGAGAGTTGCTGAATCTTTATCGTTAGTAACAGTAAATGAATGACATACAAATAAGAATTGTGGTTCTCTATATATATTTTATGAGAATATAGAAATAGTCCAACTGAGTTCTAAAAAAAAACAATTTATATTATTAACTTGCTATACAAAAAGTCAAACACTTATATGTCAACAAAAGTTTCAACCTTTTTTTGAGAAAAAAAACTCACTCAACAGTTCTAATACTATAAATAAAAATCTTCTGATTTCTAAATCTTATATTTGATAAGGCTAATGTAATAATATTTTATGTTCAGTCAAATTCAAACTCGGAAAATTATCTTTCTCGAATAGACAATTAAAATTAGAACTTTTAAAAAAATTGATTTTATGTATTTTTCGTCATACTATCCTTTTTTCAATAATCAAAATCACAGGTTTCTATCAACTATTATTCAATTTATACTTGACATCATTCTATTCAAATCAAAACCATTCTCTAATAATGAATAATATTGGCAGTGTACATGTCATTCAATATGACCTACATGAATATCAGAATTTCTTGTTTTTTTTTTTGTCTAATGTTATTGTTGTCGATAACTCAATTCTGGGACAGAAAAAAATATTATCAAGAAGGTTCTGATACGATTGGAGTAAAAATGAGAAGAAAAAAAAAACATGAAATCAATGAATATTTACGCATAGATTCTGATTCAGGATTAATCATTCCATGAGTATGATTATCATCATATTGATTATGAGTTATTTTTATTGCTTGACATTTTGGTATATTTAAACGAGATCGTATATTATCTGATAAATAATTACATTGACGAAATATACCTTTATGTGTTGAAAATAATAATAAATTTTTTTCAATACCTATAACAGTTGTTGATAATTTATAATTTATATTTGATAATATTTGTGTATCATTAGTATTATTAATTATATGAATATTACCATTAATTGTTTCTTCAATAATAATCCATTTTGCATAAGAACGTAATTTAACTAAATCATAAACAATTATTGACCAATAATCAGTTGCAAATGTTAATATACCAATAAAATTAGTTAATGATGTGGCTATAATTGATAGGATTTGTATTGTCAATAAAGCTACCATAATATAATAAATATTATTAGATATAGAATAAATGTTAGATAAAACAATGAAAATAAGCTTTCATTAATATTTTCTATGAGAAAAGAATAAAAATTGTTATGTGATTCTCGAGCAAACAAAAAAAAACCGATAGGTTTCCTTAGGGAAAAATGAAACAAAATAAAAACAAGAACGAATGAGCAAACACTAAACAGTTAAACTGATTGAATGCATATGTAGTCCAGTGAGACAATAAACATCTATGCAATGCTCCATTTTGTCGATTACATATTGCATGTAAAAAGTATGTCATGTGCTGTATAATAATTTAGACAAAAAAAAAATATATATATAAAGAATTTTAATCTTATGATTAATAAATATAAAAAAAAAAGACTTTTATATCTCAAGAGAAATGAGCAAATTGCTTGTTTTTTTAAACATTTCTTTGTTTGAAAAATGGCGAATATATTGATGTTTCTTTTTTTATTCTGATGATTTAGTCACGCATGTTCACTAATGATAATTATATGAAATTACAAAAGGAAAAATATTATTCGATGCATTTATATATGTATGTCAAGCAAAAATTAAATAGAGTTTTTCAAGCATTTACAAACTAGAAAAATATGAGAATAAAGAACTGATCTTATATATATTTATATTAAGTTATATTCAAGTTTAATCGAAGGCTAGTTGAACCTAAGAAATTGTAGTATTTGAATATAAACTAGTTTTAGTCTTTCAATGGAAGTCATTGATATTCTTTTACTTTTTTTTTTGATAATTTATAGTCATATATCTTTATATCAGAAATTTATTTTGATTTTCATCTTTAGTAGTAACGTTCTCTTTATTCATAGAAAGTCTGACAAGTAGATTTATGTGGATATTATCTTTCTTAAGATTAGATATAAATAAAAACAATAACAACAACAAAAGCGATAGAAAATAATCTCTTGCAACAAATGATTAATATATGACAGCTGTGAAAACAGCTGATAATAGACAGTGAATCACATAGATAATTCATTTATCAATCAGTAACATGCTTTAAACATGTTGATATGCATTGATAGAGTTCTCTTGTTAAGGCCCCCCCACCACTCAAAAATCGATCTCAGCCCACGAAAGTTCAAATGGGCTGAAACTTGGAGCATATGTTGGGACTGAAGTGAGGAGGCTGTGATAAAATTTTCAGCTCGATACCCTAATGTTTGACAGAGATATGAAACAAACAAGGGCCAAAAATAGCTCATTTGGCAATCCATTTTTCTTTGTCCAGGCTCTTTCAATGTATTTAATTTTTTTTTTGTTTGAAAGAGCATCTCAGGACGCAGTGCAGTACAGAGTCCTTTTTTTTAAATTCTTACTTTTTTAGCGAAAAAAGGGAATCACAAGTTCAATGACTCAAAAAACGCGCCAAAAATGGGTGTCTAGTTACATATATGACTGTATATATAATAAAAAATAAAGCTTAATTAAAAAAAGGACTCTGTACTGCACTGCATCTTGACGTGCTCTTTCAAACAAAAAAAAATTAAAATATATTGAATGAGCCTGGACAGAGAAAAATGGATTGCGCGGTTCAGAAAGCCTAAACTGAGAAAAAACGAAAAACATTTTTCGTTTTTTTTAAAATAAGCATATTTTTCAAGAAGAGCTTAACAAAAATCATCGAAAACTTTGACCAAAAACGAGGTGCCGAAGAAAAACCAATATGATTTCTGAAAGAGCAGAAGACGGGCTATCTTCCGATGCATTTATCTCAATTTCGATAATTTTGACGAAAATTGATTTTTTTTGAGTGGGGGGGGGGCCTTAATAAATAATAAAATGTCTACATCTCAACTTTGATCAAAAAATACTTTATATACTTTAACGATAAGGTTATGTTTATTCTATGTTTTGAATTTTGTGGAACTCACATATATTTTTGCAGGAAATAGTGAGTGTAAGTTTTAAGTTCAAGTTTTGACGACTCTCCCCCTCCATTACAGACCTTAGCAATTAAGAAATAACAGGCGTCAGACTTTCTAGTTTTTTTTGAACAGTTGATCAAATTATAATTTTGAAAGATAATCAACATCATTGTTTGTCAGTTGATTACTATATATAATAGTGCATAAGATCTTCTATAAATATCATGAATATATAAAACAGATTTATTTGCCAATTAATTCAATGATTATAATAATAACAATGTTAAATTAAAAAAAAAACATTTTAAAAAAATGAAAGATAATGAGCGAATAGTAACAATGCAAAATAAAAATGGGGCGCTCTCAAACAACAAAAAAAAACTTCTGTTTTTGAATGTAGAAATAAATAACAAATCCTCACTCTTATCATTGATTATCAATGAAAACAACTGCAGTGTACACGAAACTTTTCAGTTTATATATGATGTACTAGAATATTAAGGTTTAAGGATATATGTGAGTTTCACATTTCAGCTCCAAACGAGCTGCGCTAACAAGCGTTTTTATTTGATTAAAAATAAATTACCTACCGGTCAAAGAATTTCTATTAATAAATTATCAGAAAAATAAGCAATTTTCTTTTGGTAATGCAACGTTATTCGATACAAAATAAACTGTTGTCTTTATTCTCTTATTGAATTTTTTCCAATTTGTTCCTAAATAGAAAAAGTAACAATGGTAGTTATAAATTATTATTATAATTTATCTGACTTCTTATCGATATCTTGTCATCATAGAGCATAAAACTGCATTGTAATGTCATATTTTCACATTCACTCATTAACATTAATTTCATTTAACCTAAAAATTGAATTTTCTTATATGTTTCAATTATAATCAACAAATTTATATTCCGTCATAATGCGAAGTTCATAAGTCAAAGAATAAGAAAATGGATCATTCTCAAAAGATAACAAATGGTATACACTGCAATTTTGGTTGGTTTTTTCGGTCACTGGAGTTAGATCATTTACTAGGATTTTAGAAATGGTCTCCGAATGAGACTGAATAGGTGTAGATGACGACGAGTTTTGCACTAAGTCGCACTCTCATTCAAACTGGTTTTCTCTTTACGAATCTAATTCAAAAAAGGAAAAAATCTCTAACATTTTGGATGATGCAATCTATATGATAGAACTTTTCCGCTGAGTATTTTGATAACAAAATGTTTGAAATTTTACCAACATGTCTAAAATCAAAATAGTGAAGACTGTCTAATTGATCTAGATTCTTGGCGTTTTTCAGTATTTTGGCTATTGTATTGTCATCTATTAGTGAAATTTAAAGACTTTTTTGCAATCCATAGAAGTATCTTTCTGTTTTCTCTATCGTTTTTATATCAATAGATAGTTCTACCAATTAGATGCTGTCAGAAATAGTTCACACCGATATACAGCGTTTGATGTATTATTCAATAGAAAAATACTCAGCTGCACTCCCATTCTATTTAATTTTTTTGTGAAATTCTTCGTCATTGATGTTGCCTTTGCTAAAGATATATATGCCACTTCAAACTGAATCATGCAAATTTCTAAGAAGATCACTGTTAATGGGTAGTTCACATAAATACCATCATTCGGTTATTTGTAATAGTTATTATGAAAGAGAAAATGTGTTCCTTTCTTGGCGAAATCCATTAATTGAAGAAGATTGTACTCGAAGATGGAAGGTCTCAATTTGGACGCTGTGAAATATAACTTTCTTGCAAATAATTACGACAGTTTCTTCGACTGGAATGCTTTTTAAAAAAAATTTCAATATCGAAACTGATCAATTAGGTCCCATCTATGAACAGAATCTCAATATCTGACGACAGAATACCTTCGCTCAACCAAATTCAAATTAACGTCATCGTCGAAGAGAAATTCAACAAAAATCGAAGAACATTTGTCAATGTTCACTATCTTCGATGATCATCTTGTCGTGAATCAACCGAAAACTAATTGATGATTGATTGACTAACCTAATCTTTACCATTCGTATTCAAATAAATGAGTCAAGTTATCTGCTTGGCACTGACATTCGATTATAGTAATCTCCAATCATAATGCTATTATTTTTTCAGAACATGAAAGTCTTATTTTCGATAGGAAACTCTATTAAATTACAACACTATAATATTTAGGTCTTCGCGGTTTCAAATAATCCATATACCTTGTTTTCAGCACTAAATACTGGAAATTTTTCTGTCTGAAATGATCAAACGATGAAAAAAAAACCAGGATTATATAACCTATACGTGAAGACAAAAAAACCATATTGCTAATCATAAAGTAACTAAAAATATTGTGACATAAAGAGAAAAATATAGGCTTAAGTAGAATTTCGTTACTTTCAAAAACAACATGAAAATGTTATTCGTTCTATCTGTCACCTGTGCAAGTATTGGATTGATGTACCAATTGTTGGAGATTGATACCCAGCCTATCATCCTTACATCAATTTCAATTAATCAAAAACATCGATACATTGATCAATACATTGTTTTATGACGCTTTTGACTAGTTTCATTTTCTTCGTACAGCTCTTGTTGACTATCACAATTTCTGGTGATAATCAAACCTTTGATGTTGTCATTATTGGAGCCGGTCCAGCTGGTATTGCTGCTGCCATTGATCTTAAGAAAACTTCAACTTCAATATCAATGACAATACTTGAAGCACGAAATCGTGTGGGAGGACGAGTCTATACAGATACACATACATTCAACAATGGTGTGTCTGCTGATATCGGTGCCGAATGGATTCATGCTTATGGAGTAGAAAATCCCCTATACAGTCTACATCAACAATTGCAAACAAACGAAGATAAACAAGATGATCACTACTTTGATTTCGACGAACCAGAAATGACTGGTTGCTATGATACGACTGGTTCAATTGTGTCACGTCAAACCTGTGCGAAAGCACAATATATTATCGATAAGTTATTTTCACCAAAATACAACGAAACTTTGAGAGTTCGAGACGTATCAGTCTGGGATATAATACGACCCGAATATGGGAAAATATCGGAAGGACAAATCAAACGACTTGTTGATGCTATGTTAATCGGCATAGAAGAGTATGAAGCTACGGATCTCGATCGATTATCTGCCAGACAGACTTTCTTTGGTGATGATGAGGAAGAACTAGATGAAAACATGGCATTGCAAAGAGGATTCGGATCCTTGATTCAACGAATTTTCAACAGATTCGCATTACCTGTTCAACTAAATACTGAAGTAACTCGTATCATCATAAGTAACTCGGATCGTGTCCAAATTTCAACGAAAAATGATGAAACTATTCAATCAAAGTATGTCTTGATTACTGTTCCATTGGGTTGCTTGAAACAGAAAACGATTGTATTTGAACCAGCACTACCTCAATGGAAACAGAACGCAATTGATAGTATGGGTTTTGGCAATACGGAAAAGATTATTCTACAATTCGACGAGACATTCTGGGATTGGAATTTTACTACATTCTACATAGCTGGCGCATCCTTTCCCTTTGCTATTTGTGCTCCCAAGAAGCGTATCCTTGTATTTACGATTGGTGGAACACGAGCTCGTCATATGGTAGCAACAAAAGATGAAGATACGATTGCTACGATTCTCCGTGATCTAAGAAGAGCGTTTCCTAATCATACATTCAAACTGGAACGGTATCGAATATCACGATGGACACAAGATCCGTATGCACGTGGTTCTTATTCATATTATGCATTTAATACATCGTTGGAAACTTTCGAGACTTTGGCAAGAGAATGTTGTCATAATCAATTGTTTTGGGCTGGTGAACATACTAGTTCGGGCGGTTCAGTGCATACGGCTTTTGCCACAGGTCAACGCGAAGCAAAGAAGATTTTACAGCGATTGAAAATAAAATAATTTATCGAGTTAATAGCAACTGATTTAAGACTTTTTTTGAACACTCGAACTTTAACGATTTTTGTATTTTAAAGAACTTCAATATCAGAAATAGCTAGAGACCAAAAACAAACCGAACCCGAACTAATTTTCAAAAAGAGAGGAATCAAACTTCAAATGAAAAAAATAATTGTTTGAAATATAATCAGTTTAGTTAAAGTATAATGCTCCATTTTTCTGTATTGCCATGAATAATCGTATGGATCAGTGTGTGATTCTGCATGAACACTAAAAAACCATAGTGATACTTACGCATTATTATTAAAAACTTTATTTTAATCCACAGATGTATTAAATAGCATGGATTTATACTAATATCAATTTCAATGTGATACGCTAATCGTCCGAGAAGGAAGTTCTAACCTATCGTCTACTCCTGATTAGGGAAACTAAGGCTACTCGAATCGAACCGAATTCAAACCAGCGAAATCTAGTTCGATTCGATCTCTGAAAAGAACCATCTCTTGTTTATGATTCAGTAAGTCTTGTGATTACATTAACTGGGCACAACATCAATAATAGCTAAAGCTTGCGCAAGATCATTATTTTCGTATTATACTCCTTGGCAATATCTTGACTAAATATGAACATACCTATTTACTTGACAAATCTGACGAACGTAATATCCTCAAGTGTCAGTCAGATATTTTCGACCGACGATTTCGATGCAAAAATGCAAACAATCTATGCTAATCCTTTCGTGTCTCTCTGCAGCAAGTTCAATATATGTATATTCTCCAAGTGACGAAACCATTGCTTCTTTGATTGTAATAAATCGCGTAATATTATACGTCATAACGAAATATGTCGACTTGACTGTGGATGAAGGCTTAGATAAAAAGAATATCAAAAGTCACAGTCACATCTACCGCCAAGATAATAAAAAGATAAGAACAGAAATGTTCTGTTTTATCTAGCCTATCCATTATTTAATTATGTAATGTTTCAAACCAATAGAAAACTTTATTTATAATTCTTTTATGATCATAAACAGGCTACAATTATACTTTCTGATTATGAAAAATAACTTCTTCATGATTCTAGATATTCCATCGATCTTATTGTTGTCTTGATAAAGATCATTCTTCAATCTAGCGCCATCTATTCTAATAATTATGTCAAATTTTCTCACTTAAAAGCAAAGAAAAAAATTTCTAATTACAATCAAATCAAAATTCATGTTTTTTTTATTTATTTCAAAACTTTTTATTTTCTTTTTATCTTCGTTCATATTTATTTATTTGTCATTCTTCTCATCATCAATTTCATATATATAGAATATCATGTCTTCATTTGTTCATCAACGTCAATTATTTCTTCGTCAATTAAGTCAAAAATGTCCTGAAACTATGCCAATTTTAAAGACTTATCTATCCAATTATTCAAATTTAATTTCTCCATCATACAAAAAAACTCGTGATCCATTAGCAATGAAAGAACTTTCATCTAGATGTCCATCTTGTTCTCATATCTATTCTTCAAATTCATTTTATTATCGTGGAAAACTTCATATTAATCAACGTTTACATCATCTTCTACGAATTCGTTATAAATATAAACGAATTCCAACATCAAATACATACAAACGTCGTTTATTAGATAATTTTACTAATAAATCTCGTTCAAAATTATTCATTAAATGTTTTCATTGTGGAGAAATACGAAAATTTCATGGAACAACAAGAAAAGAATTATCAAATAAAATAATAAAAAAAATTGAACCTATAAAACAAAAATCTCTTTCAAATAATCTAAAATTAAAACAAACATTTGAAAAAGCAACATGTCGTTTTTTAAAAAAAGAAAGTCATCTTCGAACATTTCTTGAACAACTTTAAACTTTTATTTTAGATAAAAAAAAAAAAAAAAAAACAATGTCTAATACCGATGAAACTCTTACACCTGAACAACTTGAACGTATTGAACGTAATCGTCAACGTGCATTACAACTTCGTGCTAGTTCAACAAAAATTTATGAATCTCAAAATAAAAATCTTACATCAATTTCAACACGTAAACAACAAATTGATTCACATGCCGGATTTTTTATTGAAGATGATCCAACATCAATTGATAATCGTCCAATTATATATGAAAATATACCAATTATACATCAAACACAATCCGATCAATTAGATATTCTCGGTATGCCATGTAATGAATGTCAAATGATATTTTTAACATCATTTTTACATAAAAATTTTCATGAACCCATATGTGATACATGTCGAGAAAAATATTCAATTAATGATGAAAAAGATGATATTGATGATGAACAATCAATACGTTATAGTTTAATAACACGTACATTAGCTAAAGATAAATATTTATTAACAGATTATGATTTAGATAAACGTGAACCAATATTAAAATGTATTGAAAAAAAAAATCCACATAATCAACATTGGGGTGTAATGCGTCTTTATCTTCGTTGTCAAATTCAACGTTTAAGTTCAAATATACATCAAGGAAAAATTGAAGAAAAACTTCTTGAACGTGAAGAAAAAAAATCAGAAAAAAAACGAAAAAAATATGAAAAACAAGTTGAACAATTACGTTTAGATGTACGATCAAGTTTACAAACAAAACGAATGAAAAGTATACATGAACATAAATATGATGAAAAAAATATTAAATATGATAAAGAAACAGATATGTATACAAAGACATGTTTAGAATGTGGATATCAATATCAATATGAAGAAATGTAAATTTATTTTTGCTTTTCATAATCTTTCAGTAATTAAATATTAAGTGATATACATACATATATATATATAAATATTTTTGTTGTTATTGATTTCATGAATAAAAAGTCTTTGTCGTATATTATTTCATTTTTTTTTCGAAAAAGTTAAGACCAACAAATAGAATCTATTGAATCCGAAAATTTTGTGGCAGAAAATGAAAGAATTCAATACTAATAGTATATAAGAAAAAGTAATGAGAGTAACTTTTTCTAGCTATAATGTATAAAAGATGATATCCTTACTTTTTTTAAGAAGCTCTGTGATGTGGAGGAAGAACCTATTTAAGATATTATATACAGTGAGTACCAAAATTATTCGACAGGATATGTTTGCAATTTTTTCTTTCTGTCTAAAGCTTCACAAACACTTCAAATAGTAATTTGAGTAAAGAAAATTGTTTCGAACAAGATTATAAGTAAATACTAATTATTGTCAATTTCACATAGATAGAGTCTGTAGAAACTCAAAACCTCTGATTTTTCAGCATCCAGAACATGTAAATAGGAATGTCACTCTTCTGTTAATTTTAATTTAAATTATTTGTACTTTGTAATTTATTAAACTATTCTATTAATGCATAAATCGTGTTCTATACAATACTTTCATTCAATCAATAGTACGGGGATATTGGTTACCGTTACGTTATTAAGTATTCGATAACGAAAAATATATGATTCTGATTTTTTTTTCGTCAAGAAAGACCTATTTTTTGAAGATAACGTTTTTTTTTATAAAGTTTGATCCAAGGTTTTCTATGTCGGGAAGTCTGAGTATATAGGTGGTTTCTCGAAGTTTTTGAGTTAGATTTTTTTTTCGTAAAATAATCATAGATTCGAATTGCTCGATGCGAACATCTTTGATCAAAAATTTTTGAAAAATAGATCTTCCTCAGCGAAAAACAAATCGAAATCACAAATTTTCTGTTAACCGATATTTAGGTGCGTAATGTATAATTTTGTTTGAACTACACAGAATAATAGAACAAGCAATTCTTTACAAAATGAGACATCTTCGAGGTTTCTACAACAATTTTTGGCTGAGATATAGCAATGTTATGAAAATCACTGAAGTCGTTTTTTTCTAATGTTTGTATAGAAAAACCATTTTTTAGCCTTCAATCAAATTATTTTATCTCAGCTAAAAAACATTGTAGTGAAATCGGTGATGTTTCATTTTTGTAGAAGATGGTTTTCTCTATCGTTCTATGTAGTCGAAATAAAATTATATTTACGCGCTGTAGGTGTTACTGAAGTCCCCCTTATCTTTGCAAATCTAATAATAATTTTCATTGCGTTATATGCTTGTTGAAAATCATTTTCTGTACTTGAACCACTACATGGATTATTTCTCGAGCTCAAAGCAGTGAAAAAAAACTGACAACAAACCTTGTTGAATAATTTTGGTACAAACTGTATACGACGTTATACCTTATGCATCTCGTGTGAGGTATAATGCATACAATTTATAACTTATAAAAGTTGTGACCAGTACACAAATGAGCTTCCTAAAGTTTTTTGTTTGAAAAAAAATGATTATAATTGTATTAGCACTGTAATAGCGTATAACCTCATTTTCAGCTCCGAACCAAATTCTTATTATTCTTAGTGACTTATTTTTTAAATCGAAAGTGAGAGATACTTTTTCTTGATTATTTGTATTTTGTGAAGTATACAGAAGGAAAGTGCTCTCATGATCTAAGGAAATTTTTTCTTATGAATTTGTTAGAATCAATAAGTGAATTATAGATTTAAGATGACATAGATAATATCGATTAATTATATTTCAATATTTCACTACACAATGTTGAATTCTAATGCGAACGATTAATTACTCTGTTTTTTTTTTGATCGAATCTGTTAGACAATGAAATGCTAAACCAAGATAATTCTAATCTCGAATGAGTAAATTGAGAACTTTGCGTGTATTTATAATTAAACTCGCTTGTCATTTTATCTTACTATTTGAGTTTAAAAATAAGATCATGACATCTGTTTGTTGAACTTGTTAAAAACGTTCGATTTTGTAAAACATGTTCATGAATCAATATCAATATCTAGGGTAAAATATTTGATCTCGTGTCTATTTCACACACACACACATTGTATACATCTATTAACCCATAAAAACAAGATAAACCTTTAAAAAAACTCAACTCAATTATTTTCGAAATTTTTCATCGAATAATCATGTTTCTAACGTTTGTTTTATTATGCTAAATATTTTGCATGAGAAAGTTTTTTGATTATCTTTTAGATAACAAACAAAAACAATTCCATTTTCAACTAGAGAAAAGTTAGTTTTAACAAATGAAGAACAAACAAAAAAAAATCCTATAGTTAGTTTTCACACAACATGATTTTGTCTTATTAATCATAACAAACAAATAACATTGTTATTATCGTATGATTAATGACGTTCTTATTGAACATCACCGTTAAATGAAGTTATATCAGTTGTGAACAAATTCATAATATTATTCAAATTTTTAAACAAAAAGAAACTATAAAGAAAAACAAAAGCTATTCATTTTGGCTTATGAATAATATCAACAACAAATTAATAACTGTTAATAAATGGATTATGGTTAATAAATATTTTATTATCAATTAATAATAAGTAAAAATTAAATGAAATTAAGATCCTTTCAAAAAATATTGGTTAATTATAAATGGTTGTTTTTAAAAGTATCAATGTGAATGGTTGAAATCAAAACCAAAAAATTATAACTGATTTCTCAAAATAGAATCCATTCAAATATGCTATAAGAAAAAAGATTCTTCAGACGCCCATTCCAACTTTAATCTAACTTCTCGCATCATAATAAAAATTAAGTCTTCTTCCCACTCTCAAAATTGATTTTCGGTTAGGTACATTCAAATCACCAGAAATTTTCAGCTCTACACCATAAAGTTTGAGGGAGATCTTCATCAAACAAAGACTAAAAATAGTCAATATGATAAACTAAATTCTATATGGACCTTCATTCTATATATCTAAGTTTTATTTACTTAAAAGAACATGTCAGAATGCAGATCATGACAGTCTTTTTTTTTTATTAACAAAAATTCTTATTTATTATGTGGAGGAAAGAGATAACTGATTCAATCCGTCAAGAAAAATTTCTAAAAATGACGATCTATTTTTAGAAATGTTAGTATATATAATAAACACAACGTTTATTTCCAAAAAAAGAAAGTTCCCTGGAACCTTGCATTTTAACATGCTCTTTCAAACTAAATAAAAAAGAAGAATAAAATATAGAGAATAAAGTTTTTCTGAGGATTCTGACTCGTACGATCAAAATAGCATAAGCGGAAATTAAAAAAAACTTTTCCCACTTTTTCTAAAACAAAGCATGATTTTCATGCAGAAGACAAGGGAAGATCACGGAAAAATTTTAATAATAAACGACTTGTCAAATAAAAAAAATTCATATTAATTTTGAAAGATCCAATATCAAGTTACCCTCCCGCACATTCGTCTTAATTTTAATTAATCTAATGGAAGCCGACATTTTTTTTTGAGGATTGAAGGCATGACTTCATTTTGGTTTTCAAGTTTTATATTATATAATGTTAGCATCTTTGATAGAAGGATTCTATCGTTTTGTTACAAGCGTTCCTATCCGATTCTATCATAGTGAATTGCTACTATCTTTTAGTGACATCTGTTATTAGAATAAAATCAATCCAAAAAAGAGAATCATCGTATTTACCATCTAATCATATTGTTTTTTTTATAAAATATAATCATCATAAAGAAAAGTTTATGAAAGAAATAATTACGTTTAGTTTTCTTTTTGTTTTTCTTAATAATTTTAGATAGATCTTTTTTTTTTGCTGTAAAACGAATACGTGAAGAAATCGAAAACAAACGAAACCATCAAATATGATGGAAGGTGGAGATTATAATTCGATGGGATCAAATCGTACAACTAATGATGATCAACAACAACAACAACAACAACAAGATGCAAGAAGAAATCGAAGAGTTGATTATCGATTTTTAATTCCATCTCGTGATGCTGGAGGTTTGTTTTTCTTTTTGTTATTATGTTTAGTTTAAAAACAAAAAAACAATTAAATTTCTTTCTTATAAAAGCAATCATTGGTAAAGGTGGAAAAACAATTCAAGATCTTCGTTTAAAACATCATTGTCAAATTCAAATGGCTGATTGTGAATCACCTGAACGTGTTTTAATTATAAATGGTGATCAAAAAGATATACTTAATTGTATATCAGATATACTTTTAAGTATTTATGAAAATCATCAACGATCAACAAAATCTGATCAAAGTGAAATTCGTGCATTGATTCATCAATCACAAGCAGGAGCTTTAATTGGTAAAGGTGCATCAAGAGTTAAAGAATTTCGAGAAAAACGTGAGTTGAAAAAATAAGTAGAATATATGTTTCAAAAATGTTAATAATCAGTATTGATTTAGATAATATTGATGTTAAAATTTATCCACAATGTTGTCCTGGTGGCTCAACAGAACGATGTAAAAATTAATACATATATAGATTTGTTGAAAATAAAAAAATATTCTATTTTTAGGTATTTCAATGCGAGGAAACAAAGATGATGTTATAAGATGTTTAACTGAAGTTTATAGTGTACTCGATGGTGTACCACCACGTGGACCTTATCGTTATTATGATCCATCAACATATAATGGTTTTAATATTTCTGACTATGGAGGTTATGCCGATAATCATCAACATTTACGTGCAAATAATCCGTAAGGAAAATTATTCAATTTAAATTAAAATAATAAAAAATATTTTCTTTTTTATAAATATAGTTATGGACAACCACAAGGTTATCCGCAATATGGTGGGGGATATAATACATTACTTCAACAAAGTGGACCAGTAACAACAACACAAGTAACCATTCCAACAGAATTGGCTGGTAAAATATTTTATTTCATTTCTTTTTTTTTTTATCGAATATTTTACAATCGAAAAAATTTCATCGTTTTTCTAATTTAAATATCTGATGAAATTACATGAAAAATTTTTGTATTTTATTTTTAGGTATTATCATCGGAGCAAAAGGTTCAAAAATATCACAAGTTCGACAAGAATCAGGAGCATCAATAAAAATTGATTCTGAACCTATGCCTGGTACTAATGATAGATTAATAACAATAACAGGTAATCCAAATCAAATTCAACAAGCACAATTTCTTCTACAACAAGCTGTTCGACAATCGGGATTATGGAATCAATGATTATAACATTATGCATACATATTTATGATCATGGTGACAAATCCTGTGAGAGAAACAGATCGTTTCATTTCTTTTTTTCTTTTTTTTTTTTTTTTGTTTGTTTTTAATTTCGATTGATTGCACGTATCTTCTTCCGTTTTTTGTTTACATACGGAGAATAAAGAAAAGAACGAAAATATAATAAAAGAGATCATGCATTTCGAGATATGACTATAAACAAACATTAACATAAGTCAATCATTAATGTAAAAAATAAAAAAAAAAAAGATTGTCATATTGATTGGTATTTCATTTAGCTCAATTATTTGTTTTTTTATGATTTCATTTTGTAAAAAAATTATTAATATTTTTCAATGCAATCTATGATAAAAATATCTCCATGTGAATGATCAAGGTTATTATAATAAACCATGAATGCCGATGTAAATAGAGTCTTAACGAGGGAATATTTTCAGGTGTCAATTCGTTTTTTAGTATATTTGATAGACCTTGGTGAACTATGTCTACTATTAAAAGAGTTCGTATTTATGGTTGAGATATGAAGCTTTCAAAAAATTCATGCTGTTAAAAATTAAACCCATACTTGGGAATGTTTTTTTGGTAAGTATTAGGATTTCTAAGATATATTTGAAGTAAGTAAACTCATTTTAAACATAGATTAAAAGTATATTTCTTATAAAATTCTCATTCGATTGAGAGACTATTGATCGATGAATTCTATTCAATGTAATATTTATATATTGCATTGATAATACTATAAATCAAACGAAAGGAATACCTTACATAGTATGATTAATCAAACAAAATATTATTCAATGACTAAAATATATCAGTAAACAAAAATAAATATTATCTTGTCAAAAACAACCAAATATAATCATACTATCAAAGCTGGTATTTTCTGGAATACTATTATTCTGTTGTCGTAAATTCATTTATTATTTTCGTTTTTCTTTTTTTTGAAAATATCAAATATTCATTATCTTTTATAGTCGTTTTCAGAAGAAAGACTATTGTATTAATGCTAGCTATAGTACTCACAAGAAAAGTCTTCGAATTAATAGATTGTTTTTGAGCCGAGACTATGTGCCTTATATAGATCCAAATAAGCTATGAATATCTTGAGAAGCATTACATAAATGCTGTGGTCTCCCATCAGGACCACCAGAAAAAATTAACTTTAACGAGACTAATTAGTCATGAAAATTTTAGATATTTGTGCTGTTCCTATCTTAAGACACATCCATGGTAAAAGCATATCTTTTGTATCGCTCATATAAATCGGCAGACTTGGAACTTTTACAATAAATTATTCTCATTAAGATCTAAAGTTTCAAGTTGAGATTCGAAAATCAATTTTTCTGACAAGGGTCACGGTATTCATTTGGAAAATATCGTCAAACTAAAGTATATCAGCAATAATAAATTTTAAAGACATGAATTCTTTTCAGAGTATTCATATAGTTCATGTGAGTCAACATAATGCACATAGTCTCAACTCACGAGCAATTTAACAGTTCGAAGACTTCTCTCGTCAGATATAATCATATAATATTATTAATTGATATTGATGTTAATATCAATACAAGTCATTATGAACATATAATAGATCATCACATCTTGTTATTCGATATCATAATGAACAAATGATGAATACGAGATACTAACATTGATCGAATATGAATGCATTTAATGATAAAAGCTATATTCTAATTATGCTTGATCAATGAATATGTTGAAATTCTTAATGCTTAAATGGATTAAAAAATCTTTATCATACATATATATATAAGAATAATTAGATGATAATAATTATCAAAATATTAGTTTTTTTTGTTAATCTCAACAAGTAACTCTTTAGTCGATAGAAATTTTTAAAAAAAAATGGACATCTTTCTCTCCCTCACTCACACATCAATGTATTTTTCTTATATACAAAATCAAAAAGAAAAAAAAAAGAAAAACAAAAAGAAAAACGAAGAAAATTTACAAAATAGGATATGTGAAAAAGGATAAAACAAAACAAGCAGATGATTGCTGAACGCCAAACAAGTTGCTTTTTTTTGTACAAAAAAAAAAAACAAAAAGAAAAGAAATCGGTGGTCATCATCACGATTGTAAAAACATACCGGATAACACAAGTGTTTTTTTTTTGTTTCATCCTATGATGAAAGTCACCGGAATAACATTTAACGCAGAAAACGAAACGCAGAACTATACTAATCTTTCACACGGATATCATAGAGATATGTACAAATGTTTTCTTTTTCCTGCTTATATATTAAGACTATAACTACGTTGTTCTTTGACAGTATATAAACGTTCCATATCATTTATTATTGTTTGAACAAAACCATCAGTATTACCAGCTACTGGTTGACCTGAAAAATGAGAATAATAAATATATTGTTTATTATTATGAATTACATACCGTATTTTTTAGCAATAATTTGATCAAGTATAGCTTCAAGTGATTGAGTTGGAGATGATGATGGTGAACTAAGTTGACCATTATGATATCTTTTAAGAATAACTAATTTTATTGCTGCAATTATATCGTTTAACGATTCTAAGAAAAAATAATAACAACGATAATATTTCAAGATTGTATATAAATATATGCATTGCTACAAAGACGTCTAAATAGGATATTAAAAAATACATTTGGCTTAGAGCCAAATCTATTTGTGCCGAAGACAAATAAATGATTTGTCAAAAATAAATACATAATAGCAAAAAACAAATCTTCGATGTCAGCGTGAAATCCTTTTTTCTTTTTACTGTTCTCGTTTTGTATCAAAAAAGAAAAAAAAATGACTCACTATGCTCTTCGTTGAGGCCATGTAGTTTAAGTTTATTTGCTTCATGTTGTGCTTTTTTACGAAGTCGACATGCTCTTAATAAAAAAATAAGGATTAAAAAAAAAAAAGAAAACAATACAAATAGATGATTTCTATTTTGTTTTTTTTTAAATAAAAACCTGCTAGCAATTTTATTTTTTTGTTTTTTAACTTCACTTGTATCATTACTATTTATATGATGATCAACATGATATATTCCATGATAAACAGATGAAGAATTATTTGAAAGATCACGAATTTGTTTACCAAGTTGATAAAGTTTCATAGGATTTGGTGTAACATCATTTCCATCACCTTTTCGAAGTTTATTAAATGTTTGTCCTTTTGTTTGTGTTAATTTTATTTGATAAACAGGATCACTAAATTCACGATATAAATGTGGATCACGTTCTTTTAAATAAAGTATTCGTTTTGTTTTAGGTCCTTTTGATTGAACATTATATTGCCAAAAAAGTGATGATGATGAATTCATTTCGGATGCTTGTCTTAAACTTGTTGATACCGTTGTTTCATCATCTGATGTAATATCATTATCTTGCATATGATCAGAAGAATTTTGTTCAATATCCGACCAAAGATCAGGTTCACTTTGTTGTTCAACAGTACCAGTTGGACTACTTGGATCATCTGAAATAAAAACAAAAAAAAAAAGAAAAAATTTCAATTGAATTTTTTTTTATGGATTTTATTTTCAATATTTTACCTTTAATTTCTTCAACAGGAAAATCAACTAAAGATAAACGTTTTCGATTTTTAAAAGTTGATTCTTCCTTTGCTGATTGATTTATTGAATATAATGTTTGTGATTGAATATTAATTTCATTTGGAAATCTTGTTTGATTACGTTCATGTATTGTTGATGGAACACTAAATGATGATGATAAATTTCGATTTCTACGAACTGGTTCTTCTTGATTTTCAACTTCAGGAAAAGAATTTGGTACTGGTCGAACACAATTCACAATGGACCATATTGGATTTGATGAAACATCAGTTGGAAGTGTTGCTTTATTTTGATATGTAGAAGGATTGACATAAGTCGCAGATCTCAAACGACATGGCTCGAATAAATGAGAATCTATATATATATATATATAAATTCAAGAATTTTATTTGCAGTTTTAATTAAAGTCAAATAGATCTTCACAAGCTGTAACATAAAGATATTTTATACGGTTATTTCATATAACAATGAATCAACTAGACAGATAAATCTCTATGAAGAAATTTCTCGTTCGAATACAAGATAAAGGAAAACTGAGAACTTCATCAAATTTCTTTGATATAGTAGAATTAATTAATTTAAAACTATTCGTTGTGTAACAATCAATAGTAAGCGTTAGCAAAAGAGTATTTTTTTTTTATCAGTATATCAATCATGATATGGTTCGCAAAGAGCGTCAAATTGTTTTGAAGATGTCATTCGTCGGATTGTTTATATTCTTCAAAACGTTGAGGGCGTTTTGATTTCCTCCTTCGCTTGTACATTATCGTTAGACAATACTATATACTAATAGTTTGTCTTAGAAGAAAATATATAATTGACTCAAAGATGATAGAAAATCTAAAGACTTCCAGATGTTTGTTTGTTTTTTTTTTCCTCTTGTAATTTTTCTAATTTATTATCGATTTCTCTAAATTAATACTCATGTTCAATACGATATTATCATATGCTAAAAATATATGATCTTATTTGTTATCTTAACATATCGAATTGAAACATAATTTAAGAAATGTTATTTATAATCTATAAGAAGAGATTATATAGCTTAGATTTTTTTTTAATGAACACTTAAGAAATTATTATCTACAAAGAATAAATTTTAGAAAAACGAAATTACCAAATTTATTTTGTTGTGATGTTGGTCCATCATTCATACTAGCTGATCGAAAACGTTTAACATCGGATGGACCATTTGTATTACTTTGTATTTCAAATGGATGTGGTCGGCCAAGAATAGAATTTTCTTGTTGTTGTTGTTGTTGTTGTTGTTGAAGATAAGATGGGTGATTTAAATTATTTGATTGAACAAATTGTTTGCAATGATTATTATTTATACTTAATGTTATAAATTTTGGACTTATATCCGACGATGAATATCCTGATGTTGCTGGTGTATTTGATTGAGCATTAATATTATTATTATTATTATTATTAGTATTTGTATTTCTATTAGTAAATGTTGTAGATGTTGTTGGAAGATCATTTATATCCAATTGTTGAGTAAAATTTGATGTTATTCCTGTTGATGGATGATTTTCAAGTAAATCAGATATAGAATCTATATCAAAATCAAGTGGTGTGACATATAATGGATCATCAATTAATATAACATCTTGTTCTTGTTCATGTTTCATTATTTCATCAATTTCATCACAAAAAACATTTGTTGATGATGATTGATCAGACCATTCTGTCATTGGACGATCTTTTAAATTTACTAAAAAGCAAAGAAAAAAAAAATATAAAATAAAATAAACATTGCAAAGAATAACAAAAATATTTACCTGGAGGAAACATTCCCATTAAATCGTTTGCTTGACTGAATCCAATCATAATTAATCTAAAAATATGCACTTAGATATCGAAAAGAAAGATATTATGATTGCATACGAAGACAATTTTCTTAGAAAGGAAGAAAAAAATGACATAAGAACATTCTCGAGAACGAACTTTTTTTTTCTGAATAAGGATTGGATGATCATTAACGTATGACATCAATATTTGTTAAATACGAGAAGCAATATGCGAAAGATATCACTTTTCTTCGTGTTCTCAAATGATTGAATGAAGAAAAAAGTCAACACGTGTAAAATACATGTATGAACAGATATATAGATATATATAGAAACAACATATTTCTAATGTAAAATTTCTCTCTTTTGAAGTTCATTAAAGGTTAAATAGAAAAACAACCACGAACCAATCGTAGAGTAATTGATTGATTATGTTTTTCTGCTTTCTTTTTATAGTACGGGGTTGTTAGAGTATTTCTACTGCACGTAAACATACGCTTTGTATGAGTATTTGTTCTGTAAGATAGGAAACAAGCAAAAACGGGTTATATGTAAAGAAAGAAAGAAAGAAAGAAGAAAAAAAGAAGAAAAAAAATCGAGAACCTCCTGTTTTCTTTCAAGTTACCTCTCTCTCTTTCTCGCAAGTATTCGTTTCAAAATATTTTACAGAATATTGTCACGTAGGAAATAGATATAACTATTTAGTTTTCATGTTTTGAAATAAATAACACATTAAATATCTTTTTAACCATATTTTATTTTTAACAATGTTTAATTACTAAAATTTATTGACTTTAAATTATGTTAATTGTACTAGAAAACACTCGAAAGCCTATATCCAAACAAACTATGAATTCTATAGCTGACGATATAATGACTTACTAGTGTGTCTTTATATTGATTCTCTGTCGTATATCTTCTCTTTTTTCTTTCTTTTATGATACGAAGAGGAGAGGACATAGGGTGCAAAAAAAAATTATAGAAGAGTTACTTGTACTAGCATTCGCTGATTGTATATCTTGTGAAAAAATAAAGAAGAAACAACTGCAAGATAAAGAGCATGCGTAGTGTAATTTTTATTACTATGACTAAGACGTTGTTGACTTTAGAATAATGAAAACAGATAGACTATTTTTTCTTATAGGGCTAGAACAGAAAAAAGATATTAACGACCTTTTGCTTTCTATGTACGCTTATCTTATATTTATTTAATGGTAGAAGAAAGAGGTGTGGCGAAAAAAAAAATGCCGAGTATTTAGTAGAATGAAACAAGAGAAAAAGAGGCATCGATACGACAACTACAACGAATATATTCTTTTTCTCTCTCCATCTTTCTCTCACATTCAGAATTGCATCTTATTAGTTGGTTTCTCGATCGTTGATTGGATAATGGAGGTTAAAGTGTTAAAAAATCAATATGGCTACAAGCTCTTTTTATTGGTCGATTACTTTATGTCACTACAATCAATATGAATATTTCAGCATACATAGCGTTGATTTATAACAATCAACAGTGTATCAACCAAACATCATTCTTCGTTGAAAATCATCCATTTATTCTTTCTTTTCTCATTGACGTATTTATTCAAGAAAAAATCCTTTAGTTACAATTAAAGGACTACATTGTGTTCGAATTAATTCGATCATATGAACCCAACTTCTGCCAATAGTGGCAGTTTGGTATGTAATTTAAGAAGTTAAATATTTATGTCTTGTTTTTTTTTTTTAAAATGTTACATTCAGGGTTTGAATACCATTGTTTCAACACTTGTCCAAAATCCTTCGACGTAAAAAAAAAAAAACTTAATTATTTATGAAATATAATAATTATCAATCATTTCTATTTTAGTCGACCATCCTCAACAGCAATTGTTTCAAATATACAAAACGCATCATCTCCTGTAAATCTTTTTGCTAATTTACCCAGTGGTATTTTTCCACCAAATAATACTAATAATAATAATCTTAATTCATCAACAGCCAATCAAGGGCAATTAACATCATCAGTAATTTATTATCTTGTTTAAATTTTTTAATATTATTATTTTTTTTTCGTGTTTCATAGCGCCTTAAAGTGGAGGATGCACTCAATTATCTCGATAAGGTGAAAAACCAATTTGCGCTTCAACCGCAAGTTTATAATCAATTTTTGGATATTATGAAAGAGTTTAAATCACAAAGGTAAATTTAAATTCTTTTTTTTTTTTCTTTTGTAATAAATTTGGTTTTAGTATTGATACTCAAGAAGTTATCAATCGTGTATCAACACTTTTTCATGGTCATCCAGATTTGATTGTTGGTTTTAATACCTTTTTACCACCAGGTTATAAAATTGAAGTTAGTGAAGAACATCATGGTTATATACAAGTAACACATCCATCATCACGGACAGAATCAATTGCTATTGGTGGTAATACAAATACAACATATAATTTATCAATAACAACACCAACAACAACATATAGACAAACAGCTAATTTATTAAATCAAGATAATGATGAAACAGATATTTTACAACTAGCATCAAATAATGCAACATCACAAGCTGTTAATGCATTAATATCAGCTGCAACTGCACCACAAATACCATATTTTGGTACAACAGGTGGTTTAAATTTGTCAACTAAAACAACTAAACAACAAATATCAAATGTAAATACATCAACACAAGCAACAACAGTTGAAAAAAGTTCAAGTGGTGGACAACCTGTTGAATTTAATCATGCAATAAATTATGTTAATAAAATTAAAAATCGTTTTCATCAGTAAGTTTCTTTGTTTTCATTAGAAAAATTTGTTAGTACAACACATGTATTCTTTAGCTTCATTAAATTAATACAAAGTATGTCTAGAAAACACGATCTATCTTATTTCTACATCAGAGTTGTCAACAGATCACTTTTTCAGAGTGACCTACAGGACAAATCAGGCTGACTAATGTTTCTGTTTCTCTCGTCGGTGCACTATTAACTAACTTGATCAGTTCTCACTTATTACATTGATCATATGACGACTCTGGAAAATCAATGCATAACTACTCATCATCCTTAGCATCTTGAGTAGAAATTTTATCTGAACAAAAACAAAAGATTGTACTACTTAAAACATTCACAGATATATTCAAGTCGTTGAAATTTCAAGAAAGACTTTAGAATATTCTCTGACAATCAAAATATTATTGTTAATATCGTTCAGCAATCTGTTCTGTTGCTAAGGAACAGTGTACCATCCTTGACTACTATAGAAACACTAGAGGCCCCTGTGAAGGGTTTGACTCAAGGGGGAAAAGTGAGACTCCTGAAGTCCGTATTTCCACTGTACTCTCCTGTACTTCCGCTATACTTTCCTGTACTTCCCTATACATTCCTGTACTTCCACCGTACTCCCCTATACTTCCCTATACATTCCTGTACTTCCCTATACAGTTCTGCATTTCCATCGTACTTCCCTGTACGTCGATTGTACTTTCCTGTGCTGCAACTGTACTTTTACTGTGCTTTGGGAGTACGGGAGTCTCGTCTTTTCCTCCTTGGTTGAATTTTACTATTATAGGAAACATTGATTTAATTTACATAAGAAAAAAGTTCCTGAATGTAAAATATAATATAGATATGACTGGCATATATATAATGAATGGACACACACGAGGTATATATATAGGTATACTGTTTTTCGTTCTGTACCAATCATATGAAAGTTCCTAAAGAAAACTTGTAAAATATAATATAGATACTCATTGACTTCTAACTAGATATGAGGGGGATGAATCGGAACCAGGTCCACTACTTTTCCACTTGGGAACGATACTTTTTATGGTTGTGTTAAACTTGTGTTAAATATCATATTATCTCGATCATGTGTACTTTTCAGCCTTATTGCTATGAATAGGGATCCACAAAATGTCGACTTAATCGACACTCACTATATTTTTGTTCAAAAAACATAATGTGAATTTCACAAAAGAAAACTTAATAATTTCTATATTGAAAAATTTTCCTAATCTTTTTAAACTTATTAGTCAAATTGAAATTTGTTTTTCGAAAAATGAACTATTCTAGTAAAATACTTGATTCTATATTGAAAATTTTGAATGTTCACAAAAAAAAATTTATTTTCATATTTCAGAAGTCCAAATATCTACAAAACATTTCTTGAAATTCTTCATACATATCAAAAACAACAAAAAGATGCTAAAGAAATTCCATCAAATAATTTAACAAATAATAATGGATCAGCAATATCAACTGGCATTAATAATCAATCAACTTTATTATCTGAAACAGAAGTTTATGCTAAAGTAGCACAATTATTTACTAATCATGAAGATCTTCTTGCTGAATTTAGTCAATTTTTACCTGATGCTACACAACAACCAACTGTAAATATTAATTTAAACAAAAAAAGTAGAATCAAAAGTTTCATTTTATTTGTTGTTGTTTTTTGTTTAAGGAACGTTCTAATTCCATTTCTGATATTCTATCATCATCTGGTAGTTCAACTCCACCAATATTTTCAACTCAAACAAGTTCAATTTCAACAACACCAACAAATCCAAATCCAAATCCAATTGTAACTAATCCAACACCACGTTTAATAATTAATAATCCTGTTTCATCAATAACAACAACATCAACATCATCATCATTTTTAACAATAAATAATAATTGCAATTCATCTCCATTATCATCTTTAGCTATGTTATCATCAGCACCATCATTTACAGTATTAACATCAACAACAGCAACACCTAAAGAAGAAAGTATTCGTCCACCATCACCAAAACGAACAACAATAGCAACAACAACAGCAATGACAACAACATCAGCATCATCAACAACAACAACAATAACAAATACAGCATCGACTAGTACAAATAATATTCCTAATAAACGATCAGCTTCATCATCTAAATCACCAGCAACAACAACAACAAAGAAAAAACGTTTAACTATGACAAATAATATACAACCAATATCACCAACAATTCGACCTACAAATATAGTTGAAACAACAACAACAACAACAACAACAGCAACAACA